TCTGATTCCCAACCAAGCTCAAAAAATCTTGATTCTTCTCTCGGCTCAACTTGCACTCTCTATTCCCTGTGAAAATTGAAAATATATCGTTTGAAATAATTCGACACGAAAGAAACGTGATATATATAAATTAATTATTAATGTTAACTTCTCTTACTAAATTTAATGAAACTGGTATATTTGATGAACGTATATCGTATTAATGAAACTAATGAAGGTATAAAATTAATTACAGCTTTATTAATAAATGTTAAACGTCTATTTGTTTGTCTATAAATTATATTTACCAAGAAATAATAATAGTAATAATAATTCTGAATCCATGAGATGATCTTAATATTAAAAAAGTTATTATTCTTATAAATATTATTAATTCTATATGATTTTACATCATATTGACATAAACATATTAATCTTGAAATTAAAATACCAATATAGTATAATTTACCAATAAGTATACATTAATAATGATTAAAAAAATTATTAACATATTTAAATAATATTTTATAAATTATCATTAACCATAAACAATCCATAACTACCTTTGATTTTAACATAATTGATGCTAAAATTATTGATCCATGATATGGAAGCTTCAATATGAGCTTTAAGCAATCATCTATGAAACATGTAAAGGAATTTTACTAAAAATGATATATAAATATGATAATAAATATAAATAAATAAATAAATAAATAATATTAAATATAAATTTATATTAAATTCTCTATTAAAATCTCTATTAAAATAAATATTAATTTATATTCAATTCAATAATTATATAATATAAAATACATATAACATAAAGAAAAAATTATTGTATAAAATATTAAATAAGATCACCTTAATTTAATCATTCACTTCATTTTACAATTATATAAAAAACTAATAATAATTCTAATTTATAAAATAGGAAAAGAATTTATCTTATGCATTATATATATTGAATGCTCTTTCTATACATATGTATATGTGTACAAGTTTGTGTGACTGTGATGTATTTTTCTTCACGATGAGTGGACGTATTTAGTTCAAGTTTGGCACGATAATAATATCGCAGTTAATGGCTGACTCGCGACAAAAAAAATTCCTCAAATTGAAACGATGTTGATTCCACCAGCCAGACTGAAATGTGTGAAAAATATTATTAAGTTATTAAGCATCGATAAACTCTTGTCGAATAATTTTTTGATTAGGCTTAATGGATGTAAATCTCGCGAGCAATAAATGTATATTTGTGTGTGAATATTAAATAAATTTCTATTCTCAAAAGTTATGATATCTTTTTTCTGGTTTAATGGAATTTTATTGTGATCAAGCCATTCCATTATATCATTGTAGAATCTTTTCTACAGCAAAGGTAAAGTGTTTTATAATTACACTTTTTATTTATACAAAATATTCAACGTACAGAATGATAAAAAAAAAAAAAGTACAAAATATACATAGAATTGCATCCAAAAAAATTGTTTGCGAACTCACTTCCCTTTCTTTGAAACGAATAAACCGTATTATAAATCTCGCGAGCATATTTGTGTGAATATTAAATAAATTTCTGTTCAAAAATTATAGCATAACGTAAACTGTATTTATGACTACACTGTTTATATACTCAGGCAAAATATTCAACGTACAGAATGAACACTAAAATAAATAACCAAAAATTCTCCTCGCTTGAGATAAATAAAAATTTAAAATTTAAAGAAACGAAAAGAACGCAAAGAAATTTATCGCAAATTTATCATCCTTTCATTTCTTCTTTTCATTTCTTTCTTCAATAAAATAAAATACAAGATAAAAGAACTCCGTTGAAAAAAAACTGCTCATTAAAGAGACAGTTGCAGAACATGTTGCGTCATTCCGATATCTTGGAAACTTGCCAAGAAGGGGAAGGGGAAAGAGGAGGTGCGAGGGAGAAAATTAGAGGCAAGAGGAAGCAGGCAATCCTCTTACGAGATTTCTACGCACCTGGTTCGTTCCCAGCGTAACAGGGGTTGGCCTCAGACTGGTAGCAATCCGTCATATCCCCGATACGTTTCATGGGACAACAATGATCCGGGCAGAAGCTGTAAAGGGCGCAGGCATACGGTTCCGTGTCATCGGCCCTCGGATCCCCCGTTGGCCGGATCTCGCAGTTCGCGTGATTGTCGCACGGCTCCCCGAAAATGCTCAGCTCTGGAACGCCGAGCATCGTGTACCAGCACATGTAATAACTCACCGTGGTGCGCCACTGAAATCGTTCTGAAGTCAGAATATTTTTTTCTCTCTCTCTCTTTCTAATTTGTGAGCATCGATTATCGACGGTTGGTACATCATATATTACAATAATTATAAAGTTATAATTTAATCGTTTTCGAAAAATGTGTAATAATAACTACAATTCAATGTTGTTCGAGCATTTTAATAAATAATTGCTTCGGGTAATTTTATTCGAAATTTTCGAAAGAGCTTCAATGCTCTGACGTGGAATCCTAATTAAGAATGACACCGCGTATCTGAGAATCATGTAGAATCAAGTTTTTTTTTTTTTTGAGAAAATTAAAATCTTTCTCGTACATTTTGTTTAAAAGAAAGAAAAATTCATTTAAGGAAGATGAGAAAGGTAGAGCGAAAATTCTTATCGATCGATTAATCTTTCTTCCATCTTATTTTAAAACGAAAAGATCTCTACTTACCTATCGGACCTTCGAACGGCGGCATCACTTTTTTGTCACGCTCCATCGCGTTTAGACATTCCCTTTGAACGGACAGTATCTGCTGCATATTGTCGGGCAAGGCCCATTTCTGTTCATTTATAGCTGTGATGGTGTCGTCCTGCCGTTTCAGCGCGGTCTGCTCAATGACGCCCTCGAGATATCTCAGACACTCGAGGAAACTTGCGTCGCAGTATCTGTCACACGAAATTTCTACATTTTATTCATTTATTTTTTCCCACTCGCGGTTAATTTCGGATACATTTCGATCGATCTTTCGCGGATATTTTTTAAACCGGTTTATCCGACGGAAATCGAAATCAAATCACAATTAAAATATCGGTTAACCACTGATCAATTGATTTTTTTTTCAAGTTGCGCATTAACGTGTATAAATTGATAGCGAGTTGTCGAGGAAACGTTTTTAAAAAAATAATTCACTTTGCCTCGATACGTATCAATTAACTAGATATAGGATAACATTTCGTTCCATCATATCGATTACACAGCGATGCAGAATTGGTGGATATCATTTAACGCCATTTCAAAGGATATCATTGTATAAATAATTTCGGGGAATAAACGATGTAAACAATCGACGACGAGTCGAACGAATCGAAGGAAATACGAATAAATAATCTTTTTTTTTTACTCGATTAACTTAGATAAATTTTCATTTCCAAATTTCAAAATTTCTATTTCATCGAGAAGCATTATCGAACGAATAAAAAAAAAATATCGATTCCATTTAAAAACCAGTTGGATTTTCATATTTTGGAATTTTGGAATTTCCAAATATTCGAAATCAAATTCGATCGAAAAAAATAAATAATAATTAATTGTCCAACCTGTGCACCTCCCAGTGCAGAGATCTCAGAGCCGGCTTCGGGAATTCCTCGTACGGCTTTTTCGCCGCGTCCTCGTACCTCTTGTAATAGCGACGATCGAAATCGCCAAATTTGTGGCCACGTATGTAATAGGCCACGTCTCGTATTACTTTGTTTTTGTCCCAAGTCGGGTCGAACTCCTCGGTTGTTTCTTCCACGTCGGGCACATCGGTTATCTTTATTTTCGGATCCATAACCTCTTCCGTCATCCCCACCTCCTCCATGTCCATCTCCGCCTCCTCCTCCTCCTTCTCCTCCCTCTTTTCCACTCCGGCCAACGTCGTCTCCTCCCCCTCCATCGCGTGGACAAGACGGAACAACGAGTGCAATAAAAACGCGTACAATATTATTCTCATTCTCGTTCTTTCTTTCTTCTTTCTTTCTGTCTCTCTCTCTCGAATCGATCTCCATATTTTCGTCGCTCGATTCTGCGTTGTTCCTTCGAGCGTGCGTTAATTCAAAGGCAAAGGTAAACGTTTACGTAGATACGTACGAAAACCATCGAATCGAATTTTCTCTGGAAATCGAAAAAAATGAATCTGAAAATATGGAAATGAAAGAAATGAAAGAAAAACTCGGTCGAGTAAAAGTTTCTCGCTTTTCGACGATCATCTTCTCATTTTTCCACACCGCTCAATCCCCGTTTTTATAAACCTCGCGTTAATTTTTGGCGTATAAGCTTTCGTTTCGCGCGAAACGAGGGAAGAATCGAAATGTTTTTCTAGCCTTTTATTTTCATGCTCGTCGGCGAAGAAATCCGTGGATAGAAGTCGATCTATTTCTCTATACGCAATTTTTCACGAATAGGAGAAAAATAAACCCGTCTTTTACCTATCTTTTATTCTAATTTCGAAAACAAATTTCGTTATTATACTTTGTCATACTTTGTCGCATGAAATTGTCATTTTTTCCTATAATCTCTATTCGATCAAAGTATAAGTTCATTAGTTGAGATATTCAATTTTTATAAAATGTTATGGTTTCAGCGCGAAAAAATTACAACTTCTTGAATATTTTATTCTTTAAAAACAACTGTAAATGGGGAAATGAGTATGAATTAAAATTTCATACTTATATCAAAAGAATAGGTTCACGTCTATCAATTAATGCTGATTGTTTCTTAATCGATTTTTTGGCAGTTTCGGAAAAGAATAACGAATTATTCCTTTTACGAATCACCGCGCAGTCGCCTAACTTTTTTTCGTGATGATTTCAACGTTCGTTTACGATTTTCGTCGACGACCAATCATCGTCCGGATCGCGTACGATCACCGAGCAGTATCCGTTTCTCGTCACAAATTATTAATTCCATTCAAAAATGGACTTTTACCATTTCGAGCTTTATATAAGCACAACTTCGAAACACTTTTGCTTTCGATTGTTCTCAAGATTTTCCATGTCTGAATTTTTGAATAATACTTGAACCCATACAAGAATTGTTCGCTTTTCAAAAAACAGTTGAACCAATACGAGAAAGAGAAACTTGTAACAGAAAGAAGATATAAGATTAAATAGAAACAATTAAAAGTACAAGTCGCAGTTGATTCACCGCAACCTAATATTTCAATTAACAATAACTGTCTATCCCTCAATTTCTACGGAGAAAACGATCGAAAAGGAGTTGAAAAAGAAAAAGCAAGAGTCGAATCGAATCGAATTCCAGGTGAGAATTTCTAAATGGGATCAGAAGCAAGGAGAGGTTTCGAATCGAGAGACGGCCACCTGGCATCTCGTCCACCTCGTTCGACACAGCGGAAGGGGGGAGGGGAGGGGGAAGGCACTCCTCTCCTCTCTTGCGGCCGTATTTCGTTCTTTTCTCAGATTGGCGAGCAAATGTTGACCCAGTTCCAGCTTTGGATCGGGCCGCTACTCGCTCTCCCGAAACTGCTGACTAGAATACGCGATGAGCGGCAAGTTAGGGTGGTTGTTACTTCCCCCGCCTCTGCCCCTCCCGCGGGGCTAGCCATCGAAATTTATGCTCGAAATACAATTCTCTCCCCTATATTTCAGGTCTGGAATACCTGTAAACTTCATTTTCGTTTTTAAAATTGGGAACAGCTTCGATTCAGATCCTTCGATCTCGAGCAACGCGACAATTTGAGTATTCCATAAATAATCGATATTTTCTTATGCTTGAGAGGGGAATAATTCTACGCGCTGGGGGAATTAGAAATTTTCTGTATAAATTTTCTGTATTTGAATTTTGCGCCATTTATTGCCAAAGAAAAAAAAAAAAGATAGCGTGATAGTTCAGGATTATTAAAAATGGAGCGGTACACGAAAGAACAACGTGTTTTCATCGTTGAGCAATATTTTAAAAGTAACGAAGGTTTTTGGATCAAAATCATCACAAAATTTACAATTTTTAATTATAAATGTGAATCCTAAAGAAAAATTCTTTATATTTAAAGTAAAGTTTTTTGAATACGATTGTACGAATATTTTCAAACAGGCTGTGATTATATATTATTATAACCAATTGAGAGATTGATATTTTTTAAATACGAATTAATAAGCACGAGCTTACAGTTCAAATTCGTATATTCATATTTCTAAATTTTGGAAAATCGAGGGCGCGCAGCATAAAATAAATAAAATAAATAAAATAAATATTCCCAATTCCAATTATTTTATTTTATTTTTTTTTCAACAAACGATTTATTCCCAATCGTAACAATACCCTATTGCAATACCCTATTGATGATCATTTTCTCTCCTCGTATGGAAAAGAGACCGAAATTAAATGACTCGTAATTATCGTATAACGGGATATATTTTTGCAAATTTGACGGTATGAAAAAAAGCAAACAATTAGCCGATGAAAAACGTGCAATAAATTCGATATTTAAACACGCAATTTATAGATAAGAATTTGAAATATATTGGGTATAAATCGGGAGTAAGCTCTCGTAGCTACGCTGAAACCAATCTAATAGGATAGCGCAAAACCGCATCGGATGTCCGATATCGCTGGTTTTACCCGGTGTTACGGAATAGTAAATTAAATCGAAACAAGTGGATTATCGTGGTTATACCCGTATATATACCCCCCCTCTCCGTGTTTCACAAAGAGCCAGAGAAAGAATTTTAAGATTGTTCAATCGACGCGGGTTGACCGATGATTAAGGGAGTTGTATTCTTTTTTTTTTTTTTTTTTTCCTCTTCAAACAGGACAGATTCGACACACACATCTCTCTCGTCAATTTCGTAATACAAATTGTCCAATCCGAAAAAGGATGGTGTATCTCACCTTTCCTAGTAGCAATTCGAATATAGTGAATAAAATAAAGCAACGATTATTTATAATTGTATATTTTTGAAGTTATAATTCATATTTTAAAAAAAACTGCAATTTTTTTTTATTTTTATTTCAAGTTATATCATACGTTTCATTTTTCATATATATATCCTTGTGCAACCGAAGGATAGCTTCACACTTTTTTCGGATTCATTTTGACATATTATACGCTATAGCACACTTTTATGTTATTGTTGATGGAACGATAGCTTGACATCAACCGAATCGTAAAAATCCTCTCACTTGTATACGTAAATATATAAAAATTATTAACAACGTATTCGAAATCAACAATATATTTTGTAATCTATTAATAACGCGTGTTTATAATAAATATATTATAAGTGCTGCACAAATTGTTGAATCATTTTTAAATTTTGCTCTCATGTTGTATTAAACAAATTTTCTTTGTATATTTTGTTCGTCAAAAATTGTATGCAAATGTAAGCGTTAGAATACTTTCGTTATCTATTATATATATTTGCATATTTTTTATATATCGATTAATATATTTTCTTTTTTATTCTACACTTTAATTCTTTAGCACAGCCGAATCGTTCTAAACAAAAACAAACGGAACGAAAATATTTTATCAAATCATAATACTCTTAGAATGAGTTCATCACCAGAAAATATTAAAATATTTATTCCGAGACAATAATTGTCATAAGTAATATTTGTATTCTTCACAATCTATGTTTACGTAAAAATTAACATGTTTGTTTATATATCATACCTAAATTAAAGGATTAACAAATTATAATGAAGAAACAATATTGTTTCCTATTCGAACCACTGTGCGACGTTGCACGGTCTTAAACAATAACCGTATATTTTTCGGAAAAGGAGAAGAGAGAGAGAGAGAGAAAAAAACTTCCATTGTTCGAAGGTAAGTATTTTCTGTCCACATTTTCTCTCCACGCTCGCTCATAAACGAGCATTTATATCGAACAAATGTATTGTTGGCGAGAAGAAGAAAGGAGGGAAAAGGAGGGAAGGAAGACGCGCTCGAGAACTGAGAAACAAGTTGCGCGATCTTCGGAGTGTTGGACGCGAGAATAAAGGAAGGGAAGGCAACGACGTGTGTAAGGAAAATCCATTTGACGATTGGAAGCGTACCTTTGATCCGTTTGGCCTCTCCCCCCTCCTCTACCGCCTCGAAACGATCAACCATAATGGAGAGCGCGCCATTTTTGTAAGCTCTCGTGCATCCGAGAGCGCCCCTCCTTGTCGAAACGTGTTTAAAACGTGTGTCCCATTCGACGAGGTATTGGTGGAAAGTGCTCCTTTCTTTTCTTCACGATGAAATTTTGTGGGACGAGATAATAATTTTTACGACGAATGGAAAATATCGTTTACGTCTAACAATCTATTTTAATCAGATCGAGTCGATCATCGTGGTGAGGTTTTCCAGATACAGATTAGTTAATCTTGCAATTCCTTTTTCCGAGTCGAAGCTTTTCCGTTCGTTAACCGATTCGACTGATCAAATCAAAATAAACAAAAAGTATCGATCGACAATTTAGTCGAGAAAAACAATCAACTATTGAAATAAAATATACAGTAGAGACCTCCATTATCCGAATACCTTAATATACGGATGTATGTTATTCGTATGTTAGCCGCACAACGTTTCATAGCGATGTTTATATGCGATGTAGTTAGATTACAATGTAAATACAACGTATACACGTATTCAGATGTAAATATTATACTTTTCTAACATATTTAAATTATAACATAAATATTATGTACTTAGATGTAATAAATATTATATTTTCCTGTGTTCGGTCAGTTAAACATAATCGGTTCGATGTGAAGCGAAGAACGATGTCGAGTGAACGAAAACGAGTGTAGTTTTAATTCTGCGCTCGAACGATACGCTCTGAGACGCTACTCGGTCGACGCGATAACTGGAAAGGTGACTTTCAGGCATCGCTTGGATCGATGCGGCAACTCGAACGGCGACAATATTTATTTACGTTTGATTTTTTTAAAATATCGCTTCGCACGAATAGATTCATAAACTATTTACGTACGATCTTATAAAGCATGGATATACTGTCGAATGGTTAGATTTTTTTTATCTTAAATTAAATCGTAATCGAGGATCGAAAACTATGTTTTCGGCGTAGATTCGACAATCGGTGGAAATAGAAATATTATTTTCAAAGTTTTCGAATTTTAGTAAGCGTGGAATACGGTAATGAAATTAGTTTGAGCGAGGATGAGTTTGATTTTTCGTTATTGAATAACGAAATTATTTCTATTCCTTAAGGA